TCGACCAGAACCCCCAAGTCCTTCTCCACAGGGCTGCTCTGAATCTCTTCTCTGCCCAGCCTGTAGCTGTGCCTGGGATTGCTCCAACCCAGGTGTAGGACCTTGCACTTGGCATGGTTAAACTTCATGAGCTTGGCATCAGCCCACCTCACAAGCGTGTCAAGGTCCCTCTGGATGGCATTCCTTCCCTTCAGCGTATCAACCGAACCACACAGCTTGGTGTCATCGGCAAACTTGCTGGGGGCGCACTCAATCCCACTGTCCATGTCAGCGACAAAGATGTTAAACAAGACTGGTCCCAACACTGATCCCTGAGGGACACCACTCATTACTGGTCTCCAGCTGGACACTGAGCCATTGACCACAACTCTTTGTGTGCAGCCATCCAGCCAGTTCTTTATCCACCGAGTGGTCCATCCATCAAACTGATGTCTCTCCAATTCAGAGACAAGGATGTCGTGTGGGCCAGTGTCAAACGCTTTACACAAGTCCAGGTAGATGACATCAACTGCTTTACCGCTGTCCATCAGTTCTGTAGCCCCATCATAGAAGGCCACCAAATTGGTTAGGCAGGATTTCCCCTTAGTGAAGCCATGCTGGCTGTCACCAAGCACCTTGTTGATTTTCATGTGCCTTAGCATGCCTTCCAGGAGAATCTGCTCCAAGATTTTGCCAGGCACAGAGGTGAGATACTCTGAATAAGTGAGTAATTCTGAACAATGGCAGGCCAAAATTATAACTGGTGGAAAAAAGTCAAATCAAGTATGAAAAAAAGCATTAACATCTGTCCTTCCCATCTAGCCAGTAACTTCAAAATTTTTTGCAGTATATTTCTATTCAGCCTCCAAAAAAAGAAACTAAAGTGAAGGTCACTTCTTTCCCGCACTGATGCTGAGAGGCACTGAGAGCTGCTCTATAGACTTAAACAACAGCAAATTACGTAATAAAAGTATCACGTATAAGCAGGTACTCTGGTGCAAAACAGGCCCCTCTCTAGGGTAACATAAGATGCTTACTGCGTCACTGGCTGCCTGAGTACTTACAAAATCACATACAGATTACACAAACTGGGAAGTCTGTCAGAATGACAAATACGCAAATCAAACAAACGGGGAAAAGCATTCAAGTGCTTCAGTCAAGGATAATCGATCTTTTCAGCACCTGATGCCTTTCTTAATGCATTGCTACTCCTTGATGTGGCTGCTAACCTGTACTGTTGCTAGAATAAAATGAGACTACTCGTGACCATTACTCACTGACTTCACTGCATGCAACCAACTCGAAGTGCACAGCTTTAATAATAATTAAAACATACGTTATCTTCTTATATGCATCCACCGAGTCTTTTCAGATCACTTACATTAAATACAAAAGAGTTTTTAAGAAACACCCTAGAAAAAGTTGTTCACTAAAATTATTTTAAAGATGCAAAAGTTGGCAGCACAAACGTAGCCTTGCTACACATATCCTGAGAAAGGATCAGCAGCCTTTAAAAGATGACATCCCGTTTCTGTTTTCCAAATTACAGGTCAAGCACTTTGGCAAGCAGCATTCAGGAACTAGGAGATACTGCACCTGAGACTAGCTGCTGGTGGTTAACTTGTAGGTGGCTGTTCAAGAACAGGATTTCTGATTCATTCTGATTTTTGACTTAAAGAGTGAGTGAGAAGCTGCTGATTCTCTGGATGCCACAGTTCCCAGCAATAAGCTAGACTGAATATCATAGACAGCCAGTGAAGACCTCCTAAGCCATCCACATGGTGTAACTTAATGTCTGCAAACTATTAATTCTCTAAAAAGCCTTCATGTTTCTAGTTGAGTTCCAAGTTACCTACCACTAGGCATGAGTATATGCTTTTGAGAGACAACAGCAGGAAAAGTAACAAAAACATACAATCAAAAACGTGTCTAAATATGCTTTGGAATGACCTCCTCATTAAGTGGAAATTCCACCCATTTCCACATACAATTACTGAGGCAAATGTTCAGCTGATATAGACTTATACAGGGCTACTGATATCAGTCCTGCAAAATCCATTACATATCAAAGCTTGCTCCCTTTTTAAATTAAATGTGTATTTATATATACATATATACACACATACTTTAACTCTTAGTGAAAGACAACAGTCATTAAAAGTCATTTAGTGAAACTTGGGTGACATCTTTACCTTTCAAGTTGACAATCTGAGAAAACTTCAGCTGTTGTATCTTATCAAAGGCTGCATCTACATCATCCAATGTAAAGAGTGTGAAATCTTCAGTATTATGGCGGGACTAAAACAAATAAGAAATATGGAAAATTCAAGAACCTGAGCACTCTACCATATGGATGTTGTGTACAAAAGTATCAACTTAAACATACCTGGTAGAGATCATACATGAACATCTGTCCCATTTTATATACAGGAATAGTTGCATAAATGGCACAATTCAACCCCATTTTTCCAACTGCATATGGAAGTGCACCAAGGTGTAGAGGATCAGGATGAGAAAGAAGAACAGCATCAACTTGGTGTACATGTCTACAAAAAGAGGACAACAGAAGTCGGTTAAAAGAGTTCTGTATGGTGTTATATACTCCCTACCATGGCTATTTTGAGAATACATCCTGAAGGCCAAACAAGAAAACTTAAATCCTTCCAAGTTCAGGATGAAGTTTTTAAAATCATCATTTAAAGGTTGCAGATATTTCCAAATGTTCAAGTACTGGAACTGCAAGTGAATACTGAAAACATGATTTCAAGGTCTGGAAGACATACATTTCACATCAAATTCTTGATTAGAAAGACCTTAATATATGCTTGGACGCCAGAAAGTGCATTAACTGAGGGGTCAAAAATATTACCAGTGCAGACATGCTACAAATTGTTTATACACTTAAAACCCAAAGCACTACAACTTTTCTTCTGATGAGAAAAAGCCACAGGAACAAAGACACAATGATACTTAAATTGATAAGAATAAAATCTAAACATATTCCTTAAAAACATAAAAGTCAAAAACATAATATAGGGAAAAGGACACAATTTTCTGGGGGAGTATTCATTTAAAAATAGAGTATTTTTCCTTGAAAAGTGTTGCACAAAATAAAAATCAGACTAGAAGTTTACTATCTAGCATAATTGAAAAAACTTAAGGGCATAAAACACATGCCACAAGTGAAAATACAAGTATGTCTGAAAGCTTTTTGTTCCTTCACATTATAATTGGGGCCACACATTCTTCTCCATGGCTTTTACTAAAAAAGAGATTTTATCTAATTGTTTCACAGATAAGACTTGAAAAAATGTATAAATTATCCTAAGTACACAATAATTCTTAGTAAGACTTCAAAGACTACAAGTGTGTTACTGCTAGAAAATACATGACTAAGCTTAGTTTCTTTCAGTAATTGCCATGGTTCATGTAATCAATGCTTGCATTAAAGCTCCTTGCTGTAAACCTGTAGAAGGTTCAGTATTAAAGCCTAGACAGGTATATTTCTTTGCAAGGCTGGGATAATTTATAGAAGCTGTTTTACTGACTAACAGTTTATTCAACTTCTTTGAAACAAAGAGTTGAACCACTTTGTATTGAGCCTATGTATTTTAAGGAGTCTTTCATTTAAAACCTAAGGAACCATTCTAAATTAATTTAGAGCCAAGGTCAATATCCCATAAACTCTGCTCTGTGCCATGTTTAGGGAAAAACACCTCAAAACCCCACAAACATCCAAGCCAAACACAGACCAGTTTGAGAATTACAGTTAATACATGTAACTTGTTAGACTCATAAGAAAAAAACCCAATAAATATGTTTTTATTGCAAATATTTCAGCAGCATAATTCCCTTCATATAACCCGTAACTCTAACAAAGAACAAATCCAAAACAACTCTGGATTTTATTACATCACCACACACATACCACTGCATAGTATTTCAGACAGAGACCTATCAAAAATTGTGTATTAACTACTTACTTTTTCAGAGAATCAATAATATCCATAGAAAAGTTTTCATCCCAGCCACAGTCCAAAAGAAAACGAAATTCATCTACTTGCAACAGATAGCAAAGGGCAGATTCCTCTTGCACCCCTGAAAGCGTAGTCAACTTGATAATCGATGTCATTTTCCTCTCTCAAGTATTTAATCTTCAAAAGAACTAATCTGAATGGAGGAAGAAAATGTTTCATTGCCTAAACCAAAGCAAAGGTCTATTTATACCTAACTTCATTCATTTCTGCGAACACTCAGGGTAACACCTACTGGATTAAGCCCGATATTAACTTGATCCTTGTAGGTGTTTGGTTATTACAAAGAGGATATTTTTACTACTGTAATAAGAATCACTCGGAGCAGCGCAGTTAGCAGCAGCAGCTCCCCGCCGAGGGCCGGACAGGAACGGCCGGACACGGCGCTTCCAAAGCTGTGTCCCCTCAAGCCCAGCGACTGCCGCAAGGGGTGTCCAGCCCGAGCTGGAATCCAGCACGGGGCTTGCCGGGGGCTCCACACGGCGGCTCCAGCGTCCCGCCGCCGAGACAGCGGCCTAACCCTGACGAAGTGAGCCTCGCCGGCCGGGCCCAACATTAAGGAAGCAAGCCCTGCGCCCACTCCACTCTCCAGAAGAAAAGGACAAGGGCGAGCTCGGTGAGGACAAAGCCGAGCGCTTCACGCCTCAACCCCAGGCAGAGACCGGCCCCCCGCAGCGGGGAGCAGAGCGTTTCTTACCGAGCCCCGGGCCCGGCCGCAGTGTGGCCCGCAGCGCGGCCCGCCGACCAGCCACTCCCGCCACCGCCGCCGCCTCCACCTCCACCACCCTCCCTGGGACCGCCTGCGCGCCGGCTTCCCTCAGGCGCGCCGGCCTCCCTCAGGCGCGCCGGCCTCCCTCAGGCCCACCGGCGCACCCAGCCACCGCTTCCGCCCCGCGCAACAGCCTCCGCCACCTTGCGGAAGGCGTGAAGAAGGAGGAGGAAAGGTGGAAGGGCAACGGAATGCACCACCGCGAGGCTTCCCGGGAGGGGTGAATTCTCCTCCCCCTCTCCCTGCGCAGCCGGTGGGCTCTCCCGGCCTGCTCGCGCCGCCTGTTGCCCGTTGCCCTTGGTGCGGCCGTTGCGCGGTGCCTGGCGGCAGTGGCGAACGGTAACGGCGGGGCCCGCAGGGGGGCGGGAGCCGCTGATGGGCAGTTTCCGTGATCTTGGCATCAGCCTCGCCCTGTCGCTCTGTCCCCCTGTCCGTTCGGCCGGAACACAGGGCGGGGGGCCCGGGCCGGAGCGACCTTCAGCCCCGTGGTGTTATGGCGTCTTGTCCCTGCGGGCACGGGCGTGCGTGGGCTGGTGGGGTCCCCAGGCAGGCTAGGAGCAGCGGAGCTGGGAGGTTGGCAGGGCCCTTTTCTGTGTCACTAGCGTGAGCGCCGGCCCCAGCCGCCATGGCGACCGCCTACGGTTTGGGATGTGCGAGCAACGGCGTCGGTTCTGTCCTCTAACTAGTGTGTGGCTTTGAGCTCGCAGCTGTGATTTCCATTGTGTCTCTTACAACAAGACGCTAATCTTAGCTTTGCTTAGGTTGTTAAAGCTGGCTGGATTTTAGAAAAGCCCTTTCTTCCTTGTCAGTTCCCCACCGAAAGTACAGATTAACTTCAGCCTTGTTACAGGTAATAAAGTGTCTGTCTACAGGAGTTTAGGTAGTAAATGCATTTGTTAGAGTTACTTTAATGGGTAAATTACTCTAGAACATTTAAATAGAGCTATTTCACCAGGGATATCTTAAAAGACGTTTTGTGTTTCTCTCACATTTTAGGTTAAAGCTCTCTTCTCCAGGGCTATAAGTTAGGATTCTTTCTAAGAAAATTATAAGGATTTGAGAACAGCATGTGTCTCATAGTAAGTGAGATTAAAGATGCCAGGCATGCAACATTTTCCATGTACAGATTTATATGTAACCCTCCTCTGTTATGCTTTTCTCCATAGCAACCATGGTGAATTTTGCCCAAGCTCTGCGTGATCACTGGGTGCATATCCTTGTTCCCTTAGGATTTGTGGTTGGATGCTATTTGGACAGACTGAATGACGAAAAACTGTCTACCTTCAGAAACAAGAGCTTACTATATAGAAGGTCTGCTTTATGTTATTTGCAAAATGCTTCTCTGCTCTTCTTGAGAGTATTAAGTATGAGAAAAAAAAAAACAGTGTAAAAATGCTAAAGGGAAGAAAGCCCTAAACATTTCAGCAAGCATTCATGAAGGGTTTAAATTACTAATGCCCCCTGAAAATTGGGGCTTTAGGAGCCATCTTAGCAATGAAAGAAAGGATCACTAGGTACTTGTGTAAATCTGTCATTTGAAAATAATAACCAAAGTTTTGAAAATTAACGTGTTTATGTCATCAGCTGCTGTATTTTCACTGAAGGATATGATTATAGACACTGATGAGTTTGGGCTTGCTGACCAACCTCTGGGGAAGAATTTAGATAATGCATTGCCTCAGCTCTATCACTTGTAATTCTGTTTTAGACTGTAGCATTAACAAAACAACATGAACTAAAAGAATGTTATTGTCAATTTGCAGGTGGATTTTTTGTTGTTGTTGGGGTTTTTTCTTAACTCTGATCTCGCCTAATTTAGGTAGACCAGAGTCATAAAGTTATAAACTTACTTTCATAGTTAGTGGAGGAAGTAAGTTTATCATGTTATCCACCCCATGGCACTTTTCTTAATGCAGTTACCGGTGAAATGAGGCTGGTAATTCAGCTTCTGGCAAAAATCCCCTCTTTCACACCCTAGTTCTCTTCCCACTAAAGCAATGAATTTTTGTATTTTAAAGAAGTAGATTTTTTTCCTTTTGGATCCCATTATGTAGAAAGTCTGTTAACATCTTAGAATTCAGCAGCATCAAGCTTCTATTTAAAAGAATGGGAGTTAAGAGGACTCAATCCTTTGAAGCTTTGGAAAGAAGAGAGGAAGTGTATCAGTATTGAACAATTTTTAACTGACAGTAGTTGCAAGGAAAGAAATGCATACATCACTCTCAAAATTGTAGAATAATCACATCTATTAGTAAATGTTCTGCAAAAATTATCCTAATTTTAGTCTCTTTCCTTTGTTTTTCTTTTCTGCACAGAGAGTTGAAGCCTGGTGAAAAAACTACATGGAAATAAAGGCTGCAGATGAAATGGAAAACATTTTTTTTTCGATTCATCATCTTACCTTACTCGTTGAAAGCATAGGGTTATGGTTTTTACCTTCGGAGAATATGTAAAGCTGCGAAAGACAACTACAGTTCATCTGTGCTAGCTTAATTTTAAATCTGACCTTTTGGAAGATGATTTAATTGCATGACTAGTATGTGTCCAGGGGTTCTCTTAGTCCATAAGTGTTGAGAAACATTTATCCTCAGAAGTCATGTTCTGGAGGGGAAAGGAAGAATTACATAATAAACTATGCAAAAATCATTCACGTTGCAGTGTGGTTGTAGAATTTATGTATTTATAGCTCATTTGTGGACTAGCCTTCAGAGAAACACTTAACAAAAACCCAGGATGTGGTCTTCAGTGGTTTGGCCTTTCTTTAGTTGGATCTGAACAAGTTTGTTTTCAGATTTCCTCGGCAGGTTTGTTTGGAATGCCAGCCAGTGGGATGCGGCTTTGTCAGCGCGTGTCGGCAGAGGGAGATGGAAGGGACGGAGAGGCGAGCTGTTACCGCTGAACTCGGTGGCGTGAGGAGCCTGGCCATTGTGGTGCTCAGGAATTCACGCTTATAGCGTGAACTCAAGGTACCTGTTTAAGCCCCCGGCGGCACGGAGCAGCCCGCCGGCCTCCTTGCCGACAGGGGGCGCCAGCATGGCCTCCTCGCACCGGCCTCACGCGGGCAGCCTAGCCCAGCAGGGGCCTGCGAGGATTGGCTGCTGCGGGTGGCCGAGAAAAAGAAGATTGGATTGGCTGGGGGAGGCGTCACGTGAGGCGGAGGCTGTGGCCGTTGACAATAAACATGGAGTCGATCTTCCACGAGAGGGTGAGTGAGGGTTTGTGGTTCTTTTTTTTTGGGGGCGGGGCACTCGGCTGCTGTAGGGGGTGTTATGCCACCGGTTGGCCTTCCGGGACGGGAGTCTTATCTGAGAAGCTGTTCGGGGTGGCGGCTGGGTCTCCCGTCCGTGCGGTAGCCCAGGGGCAGCTCTCGGTCCGACGGGGTACGCTTCGCCTGTGTCGTGCCCCTTCCCGCCATCCTTCCGGGAGCAGGATGAGGTAGCGGCTCTGTTTTCTCTGTCTCGGGGAAGAGCCGAGCTCTTCCCAGTGCCTGTGGCCTGGCCCAGCTTGGCTCTGCTTGGCCTGCCGGCTCCGCGGGGGACGAAGGGCAGTTTAGTGAAGATCAAAGAGGGTCAGGTCTGAGCCGCAGTGCTCCCTCTTGCATGGTGACTGCTTTTCTTAGGCTTTTAAAAATAGACCTCGAGTATGGGAAGGTACAGGCTACAGCTGTTTATGTTGCTTGTGAGAGAGCTCCCTTAACTGAGAAATGAGCATGAGGGTGAGCAGCGGCTGGCAGGGCTCTTGGACACAGCCTTTCACTTATTCTGGCTTGGCTGGGCTTGTGTTACGATCAGGGAAAGGGAGAGCTGTTAAGGAAGTCCTAATTAATATACTGTGCTTTTGTGTGCTGAACAGCTTTTCCTGTTTTGGAGGACAAATACTTATATGAACTACTGTGATTTATCCAGTTTCCCAAATATGAGCTATTTATGCTTTAATGCTATTCAAATATAATTGTCCTTTTTTTTCATGTACTTTCTTAGTGTTTCTGCACCTTTATTGTCTTAAGATAAATGTTAGTTATTATACACTGCTCTCATATATTGCTTGGTTTCCTTAGCAAATAAGCAAGATAGCAGTATAACTTAAAAACAAAACTGGTCTGAAATCTGTGGAGCATGAGAAGTGTTCTTTCAAACTAGGTTTCTATTGCAAAACTTGGTAGTCATTGTGGTATTAAAGAGCAGCTGCCCATAGGATGAGTGTTGGATTTCAACCATTATGGTCTTTGCTACAATGACCTTGAGTTCCAGTATAGATTTGAAAATAAGTTCAAAACAAGTGTACCTTTTCCCTACCTGGTCTAGCTTATTGCGTAATGAAGTGATAACCTTTTTTAATGACTAAGTTGCTTTCTAATTTAATAATAAAACTGCTGAAATTGAAGTCGCAGAGCACAATACATTTAAAGTCACAAGCTTGTAGTTGCTACAGGTTTTGGGATGTGGCGGGGGGCAGCCTTGGACTGCTCCTTAGTAAGTCAGCTATGCAAGTTACGAGGTTAAACCTGAATGCCTATTTTAAATTGGAGTACCAACTACTTTATCTTGTTATCATTATTAGTCTACAAAAAATTTAACTGAAATTCTGTCTCTTTTCTTAAGGGGTATTTTTCCCCCATCAAGCTATGTCAAAATATTGAGTGCTGTATGTGCATACACATGTCCTTACACTTCAGTCTGCGCACCTTGGACGTTCCAATAAAAAGGCATGAAAAATATGGTATTTATAAAGGAAATTTATTAAAACAAAGACCTAAGCAATGGGGCACTTTTAACAATTGCAGAAAGTAGGACTAACTACAACTACTACTAGTAGGTACCATTAACTTAGAAGTTGGTCATTTCTTTGATATTAGTGTTTGAAAACACTGAAAGCAGGGCAGCAGTTTATATCCAGATAGATTTCAAGGAGGAAATTTCAGATTATGGGAAGATGCAGTATTGTCTGCATTAAAAAAAACGAACAACAAACAAACCTGAAGTTAATGTCTGTTAAGAACTAAGATCAGTTTTCTCTTCTGCATTTTGCAGTTACTATGTACAAATTTTGCATATGAAAGTTAATGTTTATTACTTTTAAGATAAAACTGTACAAACACAGAAAGTAAAAAACACTTTTAGCAAAATTAAGATCAAAGACTGTAATAAAACTAATTTTCAAAGGTATTTTAATATCTTTTTATTTCTGAATGAGTTTCATATAATTCTGTTGGAGAAACCTGTGATTCTTGAACAGGTTCTTCTGTTATAGTTTTATCATATGACCAGCAGCAGGGATGTGATATCAAGGGGATGGGAGCTGCTGAGCTTGCTGATGGAAGGACATGAGCTGGAGGAGGCTTCTGGATTCTGTTGCAGCTGGGCTGTACAGCCTATCCAGCCTTAATAACTCATTGCTCAATTAAGTGATGAAGTCCTAGAAAGTTTTTGTGATCTGCAGTAGAGGGAACTTTCAGTGTTCCTGCTGTAAGGGAACTCATGGGAGATTTGTACATAAGATTCGTATGAGCTGTTCATGGAAGTTCCAAGTCTGTTCCTCCAAGCCATGCTTTTGTATTCTTAGTTTCTGTGGGAGGGAGGGGTGTTACTTATTTTAGTTGAGGGGCTTTAGTTTTGTTTTTAACAGTGCATGCACACTGGAGTTATTAATGTAAATAAAAATGAGGACTGATTAAAATGAAACAGAAAAGCAGGATTAAGGAAATGATGTTGATCTTGTCTGTACTTGTAGTTTAGTTACTTTACTATTCTTTTAGTCAATTTACTAATTTTTAATTTGGGTTGACTACTATTATCTTAAATGTGCTGAATATGTAACAAAATATCTGAAGTGTTTTCTACTCAAATGGTTTATCATGAAAAATATTTTCATTGTTTAATATGCTGAATTATTTTTTTTTTCTTGTCACATCATCATTGTCATCAAGATTTTAGAACTGGTAGTATTAGCCTCTTTTACCTGAATTCTATTCATAAATTTCATGTGGAAAAGGAGCTTTACTGCTCCTCAAGCTGCTGATCACTTTCTTGGCAATAAATTGGTTCTAACCTGAACTAGAAATAAATTCTGTAGATATATATTTTTTAATCTATTCAAAGTCCTAAAGGTCTGCTTTTCTTTACTCACATATGGAAAGCAGATTGCTAATAGCCACACTTGGTAGGAAAGGAAAACTTTTAAGAGTGCAAGAGAGATATTTTTTTATTGAGAAGTAAAAATTAAACTTTGATTTTCCTGTGGTTGTGACTTGGAAGAGGACAGAATCTATTGTACTGATAGTTGCAGTCTTTGTATGATTTGGTCAAGTGACTGGCAATTTTTAGTGTTTTAAAAAATAACATTTTGACATTAATTTATTTCCTTTGAGGAAATAAAGTAGCATGCATGTTGGTTTGTTCCCATGAAATTGATGGGAGGGTTGTGTTCTATAGCTTGCAGCGTACTACATCCAAAGAATGTATGGCATTCTGGGTGAGTGGCAAGGGCAGAATGCCGGAATTAAATGGTTGAGTCATTTTACAGCGTGAAACATTAATGTGATTTTTTTTGTTGTTGTCTTTTTTTTTTTCTCTTCCAATTTAGCAAGAAGGCTCGTTGTGTGCTCAGCACTGCCTGAATAATTTGCTACAAGGGGAATATTTTAGTCCTGTTGAGTTATCCTCTATTGCACAGCAGTTGGATGAGGAAGAAAGAATGAGAATGGCAGAAGGAGGAGTGTCTAGTGAAGAATATAGAACATTTTTACAGGTAAAATCATCTTAATTTGAGGTTACTTGATATTTGCCTGAAATTTAATATTTTGTACCAAAGACCCACTATTCTTGCATAGCTAGAAAAGGTCAATTCCCTAGTGCTGAAACTTCTTAATTTTATAGGTCTTTTCATTCACACATCTTAAATTTGGCATTCTGAAATGTTATTAGTACAGCTTTACAAAACTTCTCCAAAAAGCTACATTATCTTCATCTTACAGGTAGAGGGATCAAGCATCATGAGGAGGAGGATCAGCAATTTGCCACTTTTGGGGTTATTTTTTTGTAAGCTAGTGGCAGAGGTAGGAGCAGAAGTTTCCATGCCTGCATGTCCTTTAAGCATTGAGCATTTCTAATTTAAAAGTTTGGAGACTTTAATTATTTGGTTACTTAGTTATTGTAATTAGCCTTACATACTAGGGCATACTGAGTTGTTTCTCTGTGTAGTTATTTTCAAAACTTATTTCTGATCTTTTATGCTTACACCATTTTTCCCTTCTCTCCCTCCCAACCTCATACTAAGCAGCAGCCTTCTGTAAACATGGATGATAGCGGATTCTTCTCAATTCAAGTAAGCATGGCTTTATATTGACAGAATTTTTCTATTTATGCAATGTCTCATGTAATTTAAATAGCATTGAGCTTTTTATCTAGTTTGCAGTTTATAAGCTTAATGGAATTAAGTACTGGACTTCTAAATCTTCAGAGGGTTTTCCTCTAAGTGACTTGCAATTCTTCAGTTCATAGGCCCTTAAACACATGGTAGGAGCATGGACATCCTGAACTGTGAAATGACACGTGCTGGCAATAAGCTTGATTCTAAGTTGATTCTTACAGGTACTTCATGTGTAGATCTTGGCTCCCATAGACTGCTGTTGAAAAAGCAGACTTGAGATTATTTTCTCAAATACAGACTGTAAAGCCCTTGGGAATGGTTTCAGGGTTATCACAGCAAATGGAAAAAGCTGCAATATCTACACGTCAGTTTTTATAACATGCACAAAACAACAACAAACGTTACTGAACACCAAACTGGGGGTTATATCTAGATGGAGGTGAGAATGGCAACATGTTTAGTATGAGGTATCCCTGCCCATGGCAAGGAGGTTGGAACTGTATGATCTTGAGGTCCTTTCCAACCCTAACTATTCTATGATGCTTTGCACCTTTGGCTGCCTCCGCAGCTGCTCCGCTTGGAGCAGTGATTCTCATTGTTCCAGAATCCCTCAATAGCCTCTGTTTTGGTTGGTTGGTTTGCTTGTTTTGGGGGGGCTTGGGGTGGGGGTGGTGGTTTTTTTTGTTTTTTTAATGGCAGGGCTGTTCTGATCAGTGAAAAGCTATTAATGGTTTGGCATTTCTTGTATTCCTTCATTGTGCTTCGTCAATATTGAAGCTGAAAAAAAAAGCTTCCTTACGCTACCTTTTTTGGCTGTCACTGCTCTGCTCACTTGCTGCGCAGTTGCCTGGCTGAAAGGACAGTGAATGTGAATTTAAATTTCTTACAGCATCGTTCCAGTTAGTGCTAAAGTGTTACTGTAATAGAGATGTGCTAATGCAGCTGGCTGATCCTGTGACAGTCCAGTGGTGAAAAATTTCCAATAGTTACTGTGGGGAAGGACAATACTGTATTAGGGGGATGGGGATGGCAGAGCAGTACATTGAGAGCAGAGAGATAACATCAAGTGTGTGTGAGAAGTTTACTTTGAGTTACAGCCTTGCCTGGGGGAATAAGCTTATTAATACAACTCAGTTAAATCCTAGTAGTTTTCTTACTTGCCCTTAGATATGGCATGCATGTTAAAGTTTGAATGTACATCCACGACAGTTGTGTTTTGAATAATGCAATTTCTAGGTTTCCTAGCAGTGAAGTCCTGAGTTTTATGAAACTAGTATGTTTGTTTATAGCAGTTAAGACAGTTGTATTGCTTAAATTAAGATTTGACTGGTTTGATTCATGAAAAGTGCTGTTTTTTGACAGGTTATAAGCAATGCCTTGAAAGTTTGGGGTTTAGAACTAGTCCTCTTCAACAGCCCAGAGTATCAGAGGCTTGGGATCGACCCTATGTAAGACATTTTTTTTCTTAGCACCCTACTTTTATTTTACAGAAAAATAATAATCTATGACTTAAATCTTTCTTTAAAATTACTATTTCAAGCTCTGTTGCATTCTGATGGTTTTATTATCCCCTCTGTCTTTAATTTTTTCTATTTGGGGGTGTATATGAGTATCTGTCCTCTCTGCCTTTATGATATCTCAGTATCTGTGGCATCATAGATACACGGAGATTTCAGTAATGCTGAAAACTTCCTAAATGTTACAAAAGTAGTATGAGTATGGTTGTATTACTGAAATTTTATTATGTAAGTTTAAATTAGCGGTAGCAAAGAACTTGAACATTAATATGCACTCCAATAGTAGAGTATTTAATTTTATCTATACCTTTTGTTTTTCTTTTTACAGAAATGAAAAATCATTTATTTGTAATTATAAGGAACACTGGTTTACAGTTCGAAAGTTAGGAAAACAGGTGACACTGTCTCTTTTTACTTAAAAATTGACTTCAGAATGGGGGTGGAAAAGTGGTTGCAACTAGACCATGTGTTGGCCTTTTGCAAGCTTTGGCTGCAGTTTAATAGTATCCTGTACTGAAAAAAAAAAAAAAAGGAGTAAATGTTAAATGTTTGTAATAACACAAAAATACCAGGGAACTTTTTATGAATATTAGCCTGGAGAAATACCCTAGGATCAATTTCTTAGTGAACCTGTCCTCTAGGGAGCTGCAGTTCTTGTAGAGCCTGTGTGACATCTTTAGCTCTTCTCTGTATGAAAAGAGGGTAAGAGGAAAAAGATCAGCATCCGTACAGAATGCAGACTAATTTTAATGCATAAATTTATTGACATTGTAAAAATAATTTTGCTCATTTAAACGGACAATAGGCATAAGGAAAAGTTCAAATTTCAAAGGTATTAGTATTTATGATTGCTAGTGTTTAAGAGTATCCATCAGGATAAGGTTGGGGAAAGCAGAATCACAATTTTGCGCTTTTTCAGAAAACTTTCAGAAACAATTGTTTTATAAGCAGGAAGTAATTACTAAAGGTAAGGGGTGGCCATACAAGTATATGGTACGTACCTGTAATAACTCACATCCATATCCATTGTAACACCAATGCAGTTTTTTATTTCAGTAGCCAATCATTGTTCTGGATCACACTGCATAAGTTTTATACGACATAAGCTGGTTTGGTGTTTTCAGGTTTGTTTGGTTTTTTTTTTTGTTTTAGTTTGTTGGGGTTTTTTTCATAGAAAATGTGCATGAAATGGTTTTTATGTTCTAAAGTAATGGACAGGAGTCTCTTCCTGCATTTGGTTTATCTGGTGGTGGCTACCTATCTTGTCATCCAGATTAAAAACCCCAACAAAAAAAACAACCAAAAAAAAACCCCACCAAGCAAAAAAACCAAAAAACAATCCAAACCCAAACAAAAACCCCCAAACCAAACAAACAAACCAAACAAACAAGAAAAAAAAAACAAACCAGAAAACAACAAAATAAACAAAACCCAACTGTGAGTAAACACATTAAAGTCTGCTGTTCTGCTTCAATTTGAAAGTATGGGTATTGTTTACAGGCCATTTTTGTATATTTAATATCAAAAAGGCTGAATGGTCTCTTGAAAGCATGGGAATGTTGTTTTATTATATATGCAACCATGTTGGGTGGAATTTTGTGTGATAATATTCTAGCCCAAAATGTTCTAAGTTGGAGGGGTAATGTCTTCTGTTTGTACATGCAGCTTGTAACCACATGAAAACAATGCTAGGTATGTGTTATCTAGAGAGGAATGAAAAAAAATACTTAGATTTGACATGCTTGTCTTCTGTTACAGTTAAAAGCAGTTTACCAAACCTTCCTCCTTCATGTTTCCTTTTAAAAGTTTGTCTGTAATCTGTCCATCACATTTGTTTATGTAACTTTATTGCCCATTCCTACATTGTTGGTTATCTTACCCTTTTGCAGTGGCAAAGGGTGTTTTTAACAAATTCAGTGACTGAATGACAGATTGGCAGATAGACAACTCTGTTCCAGGTGAATTATAGTATGGGCCTATCTGCAAGTGTGTAACTGCAATATGGAAGTTTGGATAGATAAATGCATTTTTATGAAAATGGAGATAGAATTATCCTCCTACTATCTGAAATTACGCTTCCTGATTAAAATGGGTAGTACTGAATGAGTATGGTATAAAAAAGGTTCTTCAGATTAATTGCAATATATATGGGGTTTTAAAGATACAATATGGATGTCAAAATATTCTATATTTTTTTTTCTGTAGAAGTGTTATTAATGACTACTTGTCATCTTCAGGGAACTATAAATAATCTGTGTATATATTTATGTCATAACATTATGCTCTAGATTTTAGGGTTTCTTTTTTAATTAAAAAATTATCTCAGAAGTAAGCAGTAGTTCACCAGCTGTCAAAGGCAGAATGTTTAATGAAGGTATTTTATGTAAAGAATTCAACTTCTGTTTCCTGTATCTGTTAATTTCTTAAGATACAGTGTTAACTCATGAAGGTTTTTCTTCCCTCATTAGTCTCTGAACAGAGTTAAAACTCTGATTAAGCAGAATTTTAGATGCTATCTAAAATAACTCTTCTACAATTATGTTTTGACTTGCCTGTCCTAGTCTGTTTGCTTGGTATCAATGTTCGGTAATGGGAGAGAGCATGCAGTAATTTCCTCACTTCATACCTTCTGTTAGCTGAAGAGTATTTGAAGGGTAACCTTTAGCATTAGAGGTATTGTGCTTCAAAACTTTTAATTTGGTAATTTACTAGGTTTATTTATATATTCCATCATAGAAAATGACCACAATGTACAGAAATGGGTTACCTAGAAATCTTTATGCTAATTTGTTCTCTCAAACCTTTTTTTTTTTTAATTACAGTGGTTTAACTTGAACTCTCTCTTGATGGGTCCAGAACTAATATCAGATACATATCTTGCACTTTTCTTGGCTCAATTACAACAGGAAGGTAATAGTAATTTGCAGATGTTAAACCTCATTAATTAAAAGTAGGTAATAATAATTAATTAGAACTTATGTATTCAGTTAATTATCCTTAGTTTTATGATTGAAATAGTGAAATAACCCAAGTCCTTTATAATGAAAGGTAGAGCCCTACATTGTAATAAATTGCACATTACTGTGTTCCGTATAGTGTGCATTTTAGAGTGGTTTTGCATACACCTTAATGCTGTAGACTTAACAATTTATTTTCCTCAGGTTATTCCATATTTGTAGTAAAAGGTGACCTGCCAGACTGTGAGGCTGATCAGCTATTGCAGATGATTCGGGTACAGCAGATACAGCGACCAAAACTAATTGGAGAAGAGACAGTGCAATCCACAGATCAGAGGTAAGATAAACAGAGACTTCATTTTAGTGATGTTGAAGTATGATTGGTTTCCATGATTAATGTCTCCATGGAGACAACCTCCTTAAGAAGTAATTAGAAGTACTTTTAGTGCAGTACGCTTACTACTGTTGCGTAAAGTAACAGTAAGTTGGTGAATACAAATGGCGTATTTCTAAGTGGACAAAAATTACCTGAATAAGGATTCAGTCTTTCAATGTGTACAGGTGTTGTATAATGCAGATTTTTAACTTAATGATTACAGTATTTTTCCTATTATTGTAAAATGGGTAAACAAATCTTACCAAACTGTGGTTAATAGTAATCAATCTGTAATTAAGACTTCTTAGTGCATTCTGTCAGAAAAGAACAAGAAACCCATACCTGAATTTCACATCATGTAATCATACAGCATTCCCTTTTGGAATAATTTCACTGTAATGTTGTAGTGCTGCTCTGTTGTGAAAGGTACTGATAGCATGCAACATTCTTGAAAGCATATAAAGTGCCACTTCTGCAGTAATTTTATCACATTTTCATAGTGAATGAATTGCAATAAGCCAATTGCTTAAGGCTTTTTGGAGGAATTCATTCATTATGCTTTCTTCCACTTTGTAAAGGTAAACTGGTGTAAATTGATGGAATAAAACCAAATGACTTGGCGGTAACAAAGAAAGTGTGTATAGTTTATGGAGGACCTATTGCTCTAGTGTGGTCATCAGAGTTTCCCAAGAAAGAGACCGCATGCACTTGATACTGTTTTCTGCTATTGTAACTGTTTAAGTAGCAGTTGTTTTAAGTAACATGTATTACTGCTTTTTGTAGGCTTATTGTCGTTGAAGTTTTCCCCGTTAAACATGTACATGGGTTTAGATTTTCAGTATTTATTTTTTACAGCTGCAAGCTCTTCTTGCAGCCTTTTTGTGCTGCTTCACATTTCATTTAGAAATGAAAATACTTGTTTATAGAACAGGTTTTCACAATAGAAATATTTTTTCCCAAAGTTAAAAAAAAAGTCAAATTAGTAAATACTGACTTTAAATTTCACAGTAAGTTATTTTTTCTGCCTGAATTCTGCCATAAATATATCAATTTCACAGGCTACCCAGAGGTGATATGGACCAAGCAATAGATGTTAACCATCCTTTTGATGGAACAGGCATGCTAGATGAAGATGAAGAGAATTTTCAGAAAGCACTGGCTCTAAGTAGGCAGGAAATGGATATGGAAGATGAAGAAGCTGATCTTCGCAGGGCCATCCAACTCAGCATGCAAGGTGCAGTGCTCATCTAAGTTTCTCTTACACTGTTCATGTTGCTTATGCTTTAGGCAGCTACTGAAATTGGTTTCAGTCAGCCACTTCTTCCAGCATGCATCAAGCTCTCTGAAAAGACTGGCTTTGAGGCATGGAAGGACAGTTCAGAATTCCCTGTAGCTATCTCCTTTCTGCTTTTGAAAAGTTGAAACTTGCATGTTAGCATTGATCATTAGGAAGCAGGAACAAATTGGCAAAGGGCGGCAGGAAGGAAGGGAAGCAGTCCTAATAAGGAGATAGTATCGAATGAAGTTAGCCTCAGCACTTATTTCTCCAGTACGTATATTTCTTCCTCTGAAGTTTGAAGACATTTTCTGAAGCTGTATTTCATTTACTAACTTCATTTTACAGTAATTAGTAGGATATCATATGTTCTGGTTTTAGGTAGTCGTCGAAGTGAGAGCTCAGGCTCATCACCACAGAACGTTCCTCAGCTACCTCACACCAGTCAGACAGACTCCCTTTCTTCAGAAGAACTGCGAAGGAGAAGACAAGCGTATTTTGAAAAGTAAAGTAGTTGAAACAAAACTGCATCTGGAAGGACATGTCTTAATTTCCAGTGCTTTTGGCATGTGGATGAGTTTCTCACTGACACCCAACTTTTGTTTTAACATGTTTTCCTAACAGTACCTGAATTTTGCTATTCCCAGGTTGCTCCTTATGAAGAAAAAAAACTTGTAAATAATAGGAGTTCTGTTGGTAGTGCAACATCAGTCTTGTGGGGGATGGAAAAAAATATACACGTTGGGTTGGAAAGGACCTTAAGATCATCTAATTCCAACCTCCCTGCCAAGGGCAGGGATGCCTCACAGTAGACCATGTTGCCCAAGGCTCTGTCCAGCCTGGCCTTGAAAACTGCCATAGATGGAGCATTTATCACTTATTTGGGAAGTTTGTTCTAGTGCCTCACCACCCTCACAGTAAAGAACTTCTTCCCTATATCTAACCTGAGCTTCCTCTGTTAAAGTTTAAACCCATTACTTCTTGTCCTATTGCTGCAGTCCCTGATGAACAGTCCCTCTCCAGCTTCCTTGTAGGCCCCATTCAGATATATTTTAAAGAAATCCTGTGAATTTCTGTAATTATTTTTCTGAAGAAAAGCATTCTTTCTCAAAGACTGCTTCTGGTAATGATGCCTCTAATGTGCATCACATGAAAGTGTTCTAGATGATATTTTATGTCGCTGTTCTGGAATACCTTCTTAATACATTGAATCAGCTAGGTTGGGAAACATCTTTAAGATCATCAGTTCCAACCATTACCCCAAGACTGCCAAGTCCACCACTAAACCATGTCACTGAGGGCCTCATCTACACATTTTTGAACACTTTCACGGATGGTGATTGTGGCACTAGTGCAGGACCCGGCATTTTGCCTTGTTGAACCTCATACCACTGGCTTCAGCCCATCGATCCAGCCTGTCCAGAGCCTTCTTGTCCTTGGTGTTGTCCACAAATTTACTGAGGATGCACTCAATCCTCTGAGCTGTGAGGCACGCCTCTATTGACCAGTTGCCAGCTAGATGTGATGCCATTTACCACCACTCTTTGAGCTCTGCCATCCAGCCAGTTTCCAGCCCAGCAAAGAATACACCTCTCCGGGCCATAAGCAGCCAGTTTCTCCAGGAGAGCTCTGTGAGAAGTAGTGTCAAAGACTTTAGGTCCAAATAGATGATGTCCACAGCCTTTCTCTCATCAACCAGGCAAGTCACTATTGCAGAAGGTGATCAGGTTGGTCAGGCAGAACCTGCCCTTCATGAATCCATGCTGCCTGGGCCTGATCCCCCTGTTTTCCTGCACATGCTTTGTGATTTCACTTAGGATCATCTTTTCCGTGACACTGATGACACTCCCTGGCAGTGATGTCAGGCTGAGAGGCCTGTGGTTCCCAGTGTCATCCTTCCTGTCCATTTTGTAGAGAGGCATTACACTGGCCAACCTCCAGTCCTCTGGGACCTGCCCACTAGACCAGGACTGCTGTGATAGATGATGGAGAGTGGCTTAGCAAGCTCCTCTGCCAGCTCCTTTAGTACTTTGGGGTGTAACGAATCTGGCCCCATATACCTGTTCACGTCTAAGTGGAGCAGGAGGTCACTATTTCTTCCTGAATTATGGGGACTTCAGTCAGCTCCCCATCTCTGCCATCCAACTTGGGGAACTGTGTACCCTGAGGATACATTATTGGGGTATTGTAGCTTTTCCTTATCTCTGTCTCCTAGTGATGAAGGAAATAGAAATGCTATAGATGGGAGGAGTTAGACTTCGCATGAGAGGGTAAGAATGCAGAATGTTCAGATTCTAGGAAAACAGTAATGTTTTGGCTTGGCCACATAATGCTGGGGTGGTATGATGTCTGAGGGGTAGCAGTGTGAAACAATTGAGATTTTAGGTGCAGGGCTGTTACTGTACCAAACAGCTTTCACTTCTCACTCTCACCCTTCCTTACTATGAATTAGACTCGATACAGGTCTCTTACTGATGTTAATCTTACTCTGTTACAAATTTATAACACTTTTCAGGCAGCAACAACAGCAACAGCAGCAAGATCGGGCCCAAAACCTACACAGTAAGCCAGCTCTAAGCTCAAGCACTCTGGAAGCTGACCCAGGTATTGTTTTTTAAGCTTATTTTCAACAGTGAAATATTTGTCTTTCCTGCTTTTGTGCTCTGTTTCTAACTTTCCTTGACTGCCTACTTCCTCACTCCAGCAGCCATTCAGATGATGGATCAGAGCCCTTACTCTTTTTGGCAGTGAAGGATCACTTTCTTGAGAAGGCTGTTCGGCTTTGAGTGTCAATATCCTGTTTCAGAGTGAAGAGCATTACCATTAGACTATCTTAGTTCTGGCTTTTTGTTGTTTTGTTTAGTTTGAGCATTAAAAATTGTAATCTTTGATGGGACTTGTGCTAATAATTTGTTTTCTAAAGTACTTTTAAAGTTGTATGATAATGTAATATAACTTGGAGTGATATCTGACAAAATTACTGGAACCAGTTTTCAGTAGAATGTAAGTATGTAGGCCTTACTAATGTCAAGTATTGGTGATCCAAAATCCATATATATTACTTATTACAAACTGACTATGGATGGAAAGCGAAGTGCAAAATGTTCAATGATTTTAAAAAACAAAGCCAGTTTTGGGGGTGGGGTGCAAACAGGTGGGTGTGGACAAAGGGAGCAACGGTAGCATTTAACTACAGTTGAGAATCAACTCTGTGCATTTATTACAACTTACGTGCATTTATTTTCTTTAGGAGGTGATATGAGTGAAGAAGACATGCTTCAGGCAGCTATGAATATGTCTCTGGAATCTGTTAGAAACAACTTGCATACAGAAGAGGAGAAATGAATTAACTATTTTTTTTTCCTCTTATTGTCAAAACACTTAAGTCTCCATTATAATTTTTCTGTGTGGATGTTGCACAAGCAGGGTTCATTTTAGAGTTCTGGAAGCAGGAATGAAAGGGGGACTGGAAGTCAGTGTGGAGGGAATCCTCAATTACAAAAAAGATTGCACTAATTTACAAAACTTTAGCACTCCTACTATAGAACCTTTGTTAACAAGAGTCCTGTATTAAAATTACTTAAACTGTTCACATGAACCAAGTTAGACACGTGTAGCAGAAGGAACTTGCATTTAAAAAGCAAATTTAAATTGTATTGAGAAATTTTAAAGGAAATACAGAAGGTACTGAAAGGTGGCATCAACTGATTTCCTTCAGTATCAATGGAAAAACAGATACAAGTAATAAACTGTACTCATAAATGACAAATTTCTTTGTAAGGAATCCCTTAAAATGGGAAAAAGAATTCTGTTTATCTTAGATAATTTGTTTTATGATTGTTTATTGTGAATGACTTAATGTCAACTTTTCAATCCTGCTGTCTACTTTTGAAATGACCCATTTTGCAGGAGAGACATAGAATCATAGAATAGTTTGGGTTGGAAGGGACCTTCAAAAGTCGTCTAGTCCAACCCTCCTGCAATGAGCTGGGACATCTTCAACTAGATCAGGCTGCCCAGAACCACATCATGCCTGGCCTTCAGTGTCTCCGGGGATGGCACATCCACCACCTCTCTGGGCAACCTTTGCCGGTATTTTACCATCTTCATTGTAAAGAAATTTTTCCTCGTACTGAGTCTGAATCTCCCCTCCTTTAGTTCAAACCATTACTCCTCATTGCAACAGGTCCTGCTAAGAAGTCTCTCCCCATCTTCCTTATAGGCCCCTTTCAAGAACTGAAAGTCTGCAGTAGGGTCTCCCCAGTCTTCTCCAGGCTGAGCAGCCCCAATTCTCTTAGCTGTTCCTCATAGCAGAGATGCTCCATCCCTCTGATCACTTTTGTGGCCCTTCTCTGGACCCTCTAACAGGTCCATGTCTTTCCTGTACTCCAAAGCGGGACACAGCACTCCAGGTAGGCTCTCAGCAGGGCAGAGTGGAGGGCAGAATCATCTCCCTTGACCTGCTGGTGATGCTCTTTTGAATGAAGGCCAAGATATGATTGGCCTGGGCTACAAATGTACATTGCTGTCTCATATCCAATCCTTAATCTACTAGTACCCCCAAGTCCTGGATAACTCCCAGTCCAAGTCCTGGGGTACTCTCAGTCCCTTATCCCCCAGGCTGTATTGATACCAGGGGCTGTCCTGATCTGGGTGTAGGACCCTGCACTTGGCCCCACTGAACCTCATGAGGTTTGCACAGGCCCACCTCTCGAGCCTGTCCAAGTCCCTCTGAATAGCTTCCCATCCCTCAGGTATGTCAGCTGTACCATACAGCTTTGTGTCATCTGCAGACTTGATGATGATGCACTCAATCCCACTGTCTGTGTGGCTGATGAAGATTCTAGAGTACTGGCCCCCGTACAGACCCCTGTTAACATGAATTTTGCAATTCAAGAGATAATCGTCAGTGTGTTGTTGATAATGATGTTACTCCTGAATCTGTGACCTCTGATCTTCTGACACTTTCTGGTTTTACTTTGAATTCCAACTCTAAAATTTTCAGATCCATGATTCAAGTAGGATTTTTGCATTGCCCTATTATCTTTTGGCAGATACACTTGACAACTTTGTTTTTTTGGGGGTTTTGGGTTTGTTTTTGTTTTTGTTTTCTTAGGCTCTTTCCAGTTATGCCACTGTCTACTACAAAAGTAGCATATAATTGGTTGGGTTAAACAGGTTTTATTTTCTACCTCCTCTGGAGTCTTTTTTTCCTCTTCAAGCTCAACCTTTCTGGTCTTTCAGTAGGGAAGAGCTGTAACTTGAGTCTAGGAGAAAGGAGGAGGGGATTTATGTGCCATTAAGTCAGTGCCACACAAATAAGGTGCATTCTTGCAGTCTGAAATGACCCCTGTGCAAATCACTCATTTAACAATGAATATTTATGTCTGTGTGGATGTTCTTTCTGAAATACTTTTCATGAGTGTCTATCAGAATGTTGCAGCCTTTTCAGGAATGGCCTTTATTAGTGCACCTTACAATTTTTTATCATGCTGTTTCTAATCCTGAGAAAAACTGGGGAGCAAAGTATGAGTAGCTTAAGCTATTGGTTGTAAGACAGTTGCTTTGATATCCAGGATGAATGTGTAAGAGGGTGACCAAACCTGACTCATCTTCAGTGCAACAATTGAAATATATTTTCCTAAATGGTGCTCGAAACACAAGTTCTGTTTACATACAAATTAAATGGAAGTATGTTGTAGATAGAGTATGTAAGCTGTAGTCCACATAATGCATTGTTAACACAGGCACTCTGAGACTTTTGAAGATAACCCTAAATTTTTATCAAAATATTTTAAAGTTAGATCATTGCACACTAGTAACATTTAATCAAAATTAGTATGAAATGAATGGTCTCTAGATGGAAATACACATTCAGCATCAAGTAGTACTGTACGTGAAAGGGCTTTTACCTCTCAGTAAAGATTTGTTTACAGCATTGTTTTCTTGATATCTTAGGATATTATTATGTTATACATAATTGGACCTAATTCTGTTTTCCTTATCTGTGTGCTGAATTTCCACCAATGTCATCAGAACCACTGTATGTGTTAGACAGTATGGATTTTGGCATGCAGCAGTGCTACTTTTTAAAAGCTTGTTTTAAATTTTGTCTTTTTTAAAATAACCCTGTCATGCACATTATAATTAATAGCTGTAATGTCTCAAATTAATACAGCTAAACAATGGCTTTAAAAGTCAATGTGTGCATATGCCATTTGGAAATGCTATGTATGTTTTTCAGGATGAGAATTTCTGCTTTCAGTTTAAAATTTATATGAAACTGAAAACAGGAAAGAAGTCTCTAAAGCACTGAATTGTTTCCTTGCTTGTCCGTAAATCCACAGCTTTAATTTCCTGTCTTTTGTTGTGCCATGAACTGATTCTGAAGTAAGACTCTCAGTTTTATAAATAGGTATAGGCTGGCAATTTGATACTAGTACTTGGAACCTGGACCTCTTATTCCCTATTATATAAAAATATATTATTTCTATAGCTATATAGTGTGGCAGCCCTATATTAAAAATATAAGAAAAAAAAAGCCCCTTGAATTGCATTAACTGTAACCTGTGACAATTACGGTTTTTATAATCACTAAAGCATGGAGGTTTGCATTTGAACTTTCTTGCCACTTTGTAAATTACTTTTATCACCCAAGTGTTTTAATATGTAAGGCATATAAACAAACAGTGCCTGAAAAGCACATCTGTGTCAGTCGTTACAGGGCTAACCATACTCCTTTCTGTGCAGCAGCACTGTCACTGCAAACAATTTAATTTTCAGAGGTATGTCAAGTTTCATGAAGTAGGTGTATCATCCCAGTCAAGTAGCTAGAGATAGTAATTTAAGCTACGTATGTTAATTGCACCAAAGGAAAAGACTAATTGGTTCCAGTATACATTTTATAACCTAAAGTTCAAAATGTGTGGACCTGCCAAGAAGTTGTCAATAAAAAGCCAGTCTCATTTTTTGGTGTGCATTCTTTTGGTGATAAAACAGTTCTCAACGTGGCTGAACTATGCTCATAAAGCATTTACTAATATAGAGCCTATTCCTACTGTTATCTGTTCTGTCAAGCTGAAGTGTTTTTTGCATGTTGTAGCTTTAGGCCAAAGTCCATTGTAAAGGAGCAGAAACTGATTTTTATTTTTATTTTTTTAATTACAGTGTGATACATGAGGGAATTTTAGACTTCTTTCAGCCAACATATTTTTACTGTCTTCCTTGCAGTGAGCAGTCTATGTGACTGCTATGTAATTCATGTTTTCCTGCCTATAGATATCAAAGGGGTAGGCAAAATGAGTGATACTTGTATTAAATATCTTCCAAAATTACTTCTGTAAGTATAAGCTGTAAACTGTTTTCATGGTCTTGTAATGGGGACGGGAGGAAAAAGTGTTGTAGAATCACAGAATAGTTAGGGTTGGAAAGGACCTTAAGATCACCTAGTTCCAACCCCCCTGCCATGGGCAGGGACACCTCACACTAAACCATGCCACCCAAGGCTCTGTCCAACTTGGCCTTGAACACCAACAGGGATGGAGCATAAATGCATTCATTTGTAATGCAATCATGCTTGAATGCAGTTCTTGTTAGGCACAGCAGGTATGAGTTATTTAAAATTTCTAATTTTTCTAGTCTTGAAACTAATCTGGTACAATACTGGCTTACTCTCCAACATTCGGGCTCCTTGTGCCCTTTAAATAACTTCAGAATGTTTAAATGTAGTTTTCAGATAAGGTACTATTTTTTGTACTTAATTACTTTGCAAACTACTTAAAAATAACCAATACAAAGTTAAATTTCCAATGTGTTTTAATGTTGGACTATTATTACTATCACAAATCTGTAAAATGGTGGGGAGTTTAAAATGTCTTCTGCACATGTCTAGTAAAGAATTGTATTTCTGTATCTCAAGACTAGTATTATTATTTGCAACCTGCTTTATTACAAAACTGACAATTGGGCTTTTAAAAATTACCAACATGTTACAGTTCTAAAATGTCTGTGAAATTTCCTAGAATTTACTGTTTCAAAAATTGATGAAAACATACAAATGGTGGCCTTTTTATTGGGGAATGGGGTTGGAGAACTCTAGTTACTCAGACTTGCAAAGGCATACGATTGTACAACTCATTTTACCAAGACATACTTTTAACAGAATCCAAAAAAAGAATCCAAGGAAAAGAAAATTTGAAGTGGAACCTTTAAAGGGTTAGATATAAAATTGTGTTTCTGACTGAGTAAGCCATTACTGTCTTGACTAAACCAAACTTAATGCCTGGAAAATCTTCATAGTTAGTTAGAAATCATTAAAAAAAAAACCCAAAGAAAGAAAAAAAAAACCCAACCCTACAGGTAATAGATATAAATGATATAAACTCATGCCTAATTAGTTGTTCAAGTAGGCACAATGCTTAATATATACAAACTGGCCCCATTCAAATACTGGATTCTTCAAATTAGTAGCTTCTTTGTGTTGTATCCAGGTTCGCATCTGAAAAGCATGAGCTCTTTTGCAATAAAACTCTTTTAACCTGCATACACACATTTTGCCTTATTTGTATTTTTGGACAGGGAGGGAATGCTTCAGTATTTAGCCTGGCATAGTCACCTCCTTCGTCAACTGCAGTTCTTCACAATGTTGAAGTACATGTGACTTTTCAACTACTTTTATCAAATCAAAATGTTTTTACTTTATTTTCTTGGTTAAGGAAAGCAAATAATCGTTACTACACTTAGAGGATTTTTTTTTGTTTGTTTGTTTTTTGTTGTTTTTTTTTTTTCCTCCTAACTTCCCCTTCCGCCCATTTATAGCCACTGTGTGAATTCAGGAGAGGAAACTTGTAAAAAGGTTTGGACAGAAAGGGATGTAATATTTAAATGCCACTGAGGAAAAAAAGGATAAAACTCTTGATATTGTCTTCAAAGCATGCAAGCACTGATAAAACTTTATTTTTTGCTACATGAAATTCTACATGCACAAAACAGTGTAGAGTTACGATTTTGTAAGAGAATATTTTGTTTTTCATCTCTTGCCTAACAGCTGTGTACTTTAGAAATCATTTTCAGTAACAGATTTTTCATCTTGAGACTCTGCTTTGAGTATCATGTCTTCAGCTCTGGATTCCTAAACAATTTCTGTTTCTATTTTGTGTATATCAAGCATATAACACTGAGAAGATTAAAAAAGGTAAAGCTGAAATGCTTTGTCATTGTTTTGACTGGAAAATGGCAGTGCTGTCTGGTATTTTGAAAATGCTTTTGAAATAGGCATGAATATATATGGTTGTATTTGATACCACTTTTTTAAATAAATATGATTATAGCTTCTAACATTTCTCTCTTGACCCCAGTATTTATGTTATGTGTTTTCCCTTATGTGTGAATTGGGCACAGAACCATCAAACATTAAACCTACATCTTTGCTATCAATGGGCCTTGCACCAAATGTTGTATACACACATGAGCAGTGGGGCAATTTTCTGTTGCTCATAACTGACATTTAATCATCTCTGATATCCCTTGATCTCTTGATACTCCAGAATTTATATAAAGACACTCTTGTGAGGAAGGGGGTTGGTGCCAGTTATAGTTATCCTACATCTTTACAAATTGTATGCTATTTTAAATTTACTGTTTCCTGTTTTGCTACCAGAATACACATTCTTTTTGTGACACAATGCACTGGGTTTGTAGCTTTGTCAATCCACAGACTAGACTGGATGATCTCTGTGTACCTTTATCAACAGTGATGAAGCCAGTCCGCTAAAAAAAGAGTTGCAATGCTAAATAGTTGGATTTTATTCTTTCAAGAGTACTAAGTAAAAAAAGTAGGGAAAGAAAGCTTGCTGTGCTACTTCATTAACTTCTTGCCTTACTTGGCATTATAAAATAGACCACAATATTCATATTGTGGTTTTATTATTTCTAAATACTTTTTTATATTTTTTTATAATTTCTTTAATAATATTTATATAATAATTTATTTAATAATAGTTTTTTATAATTTCTAAATACTTTCAAAAGGCTGGAGAACATCTCTGACCTCACTTGAAAATGTAAAGACAAGTTTCCCATATAAATGAATTAACCAAACACCACTGGAAAAGATGACTCGTCTTTTATCTCCTATGGACCCATATGGGTTTTGTTAAGCCATGGAATAGGGTGTTTGAAGCATTGTAACCTTTTCCTCTCCATTAAACCCAGTGTTTGAAATTAACAAAATCATTGTTCTGTGCTATATCACAACACTAATACTTCCTGTAATTGTGCATGGATTTTTGTTTTGGAAGGGTTTGGTTGGATTGTTTTTAGGTTTTGGGGTTTTTTGAGCTAGGAATGGATTTGAAGTAGTGTATGATTTTATCATGGATAATTTTAAAGGCAGTAAATATTCTAACATTTGGCAATGTATAAACCTGATGGAAAAACTGTTCACAGGGAAAGCAGTCTTATCAAACTTGACAACTATTTCTGTTACTTTTAACTTCCAAACTCTTGCTCCGCATAATGTACTCAACCTCAGAGTTGCCTCTTGAGTGACAGTTGGAGGTGAAGCTAAAAAGGCAATCCAGGATTGCAGGCCAGCTATGGACCCTTCAGTAAAGCCTTGCAAGATACCATTTGGGAAGTAACAAGCACGTTTTTCTATAGTGGCCTGGTAATGATTGTCAGCTTGTAGCTCCAGAGCATGTGGCTTGTGCTTGCTGCATTCTCAGTTGCTCTGTAGAGACTTCACCTGTGAAATGCTCTTTCTTCTCAGCTTCATTTCACCACTGATGTGGTGCTTTCATTATTAATTTTTTAATGTAGTTATTAATTTGAAATATATGAATAAGTTAGCTGCCCTTTATCTTCTTTCCAGTATTGGCAAATTTTTGTATCAGTATTGGTTTTACTGTTTTAATACTGCATTTTCTGTAACAGTGCACTACTCCTTGTAGTCCCTGTAATTTCAAAGATGTCATATGATCAAAACCAACAGGAATTTTGAATCAAACCAGTGTCGGGGTTGTGGCTGAAGTCCAACCAACAAACCATTGGTTCCACATCCAAAGTAGCAGCGGCCTCTTATTTCAGGAGCTTGCCTAAAACAAGTTCATACACGTCT